GGCCTTGAACTCCTGACCTCAGGTGATCCACCTGCCTCGGCCTCCCAAAGTGCTGGGATTACAGATGTGAGCCACTACACCCAGCCTTAATATTTGTACTTTTAGCAGAGAGGGATTTTCACCATGTTGGCCAGGCTGATCTCAAACTCCTAACCTTAAATGATCCCTCCCATCTCGGCCTCCCAAAGTGCTGGGATTACAGGTGTGAGCCATCCTGCCCAGCCAGTTAATTTGATATTACAAATACTATTAATTCATTTAATAGTCTAAAGGAGGTATAATTAAGAGGAAAAGGAAGCATAAAGAGGTTAAATAACTAGCCTGAGATACCTAGTGAGTAGCAGATGTGGAAAAGTGGTGGTTTTTTTTTTGTTGTTGTTTGTTTTCTTTTTGGGGAGACCCAGTCTTGCTCTATCACCCAGGCTGGAGGGCAGTGGCCTGATCTTGGCTCACTGCAACCTCTGCCTCCCAGGTTCAAGTGATTCTCCTGCCTTACCCTCCCAAGTAGCTGGGATTACAAGCAGGTGCCACTGTGCCCAACTAATTTTTGTATTTTTTAGTAGAGACAGGGTTTCACCACATTGGCCAGGCTGCTCTTGAACTCCTTGCCTCGAGTGATCTGTCTGCCTCAGCCTCCCAAAGTGCTGGGATTACAGATATGAGCCACCATGCCTGCCCCAGAAGTGAAAACTCTTAATTTCAAAGTATACTATATACAGTGATCTTAGATTACTTACTTTAGAAAATGGGGATCTGGAAAGAAATCTGAGAGGGAGGTGAGGGAAGGTAAACAGATGGGAACAATGGGAGTTGTGAAAGTCTGGAGTATATCTCTTGGACACATTTCGGAGATATTGGTGTCAATGCCTTCCAGCCAAGGACCACCAGGAACATAAACTGTAGTTGAGCTTATTATTCATTACAGCTAGAGAAAATGCACACCATGGGGAACTAAAGGCATCTCAGTAAATGTGTTAGAACTTATAGCATCTGAACTTTGGTTGGTTGGGTGATTTGGGGGAGGATCCAAGGAAACAGGTTTGCTCCAGATTTGGCCCTGTGAGAAAGCAAGCACAATTTTATCTTTGGGTATCTCAATAAATTTTTTTTTTTTAAGATAGGGCTTTACTCTGGCACACAGGCTGGAGTGCAGTGGTACAATCTTGGCTCACTGCAGCCTCAACTTCCTGGACTCAAGCATCAATAAATCTTACCTACAGGGAGAGTAGACTAGTGCAAGGCTGAAGCCATGGTTGGTAAAGAAGCTGCAGTCAGCGGGGTGTGGTGGCTCACACCTGTAATCCAAGCACTTTGGGGGCCAAGACGGGCAGATCACCTGAGGTCAGGAGTGACCAGCCTGACCAACATGGTGAAACCCCATCTTTATTTTAAAAAAAAAAAAAAACTGCAGTCACTCATGTTAACCTGGAGAGATGGATGTTTGGTATTTTGTTGATGGCAGTGACACTAATTTTGTCTGTACATAGAAAATATTAGGCAGTGGACTTATTTTGTATCACATGGTTTGTTTTGTAAAACATGGTTTTGGAGTGTATTTGTTTCATGCTGGTGTCCTGTGAGGTGTCCAAAAGGAGAATAGCAGCTGGGTACAGTGGCTCCTGCCTATAGTCCCAGCACTTTGGGAGGCTGAGGCTCAGGTTCAGCACTTGATCCTGAGGTCAGGAGTTCAAGTCCAGCCTAGCCAACATGGTGAAACTCTGTCTCTACTAAAAATAAAAAGATTATCCAGGTGTGGTGGTGGGTGCCTGTAATCTTAGCTATTCCGGAGGCTGTGGCAAGAGAATCACTTGAACCCATGAGGCAGAGGCGGAGGTTGCAGTGAGCCGAGATTGCACCACTGTGTTCCAGCCTGGGTGACAGAGTAAGATTAGGTCTCAAAACAAACAAAAACAAATGGAGAATAGCACAGACCAGCTTCAAACACTGAGGACTAGTTGTCAGACCAGTTTCCTAAAGTTAAAGGCAGTGTTTTGTTTTCTCATTGTAACCCCCAGGAGTGATCCAGAGCTTCATTTAGAATCTGCAGAATTGTAAGCCTCCACTGTGGACCAGTATTCTTCAGAGTTTTGATTTTTTTTCTTTTATATTGTGGAGGACTTGAGAATCTAGTAACTTGAGTGAAGTCAGAAGGTTGTGTGGGCAAAAAAATCTTGCTTCTTGGTTGATAATCAAAGAGTACTTGAGACTATGGATGCTAAATGGCTAACCTGGATTCTATGCCTCTGGCTTTGCAAGTTACTTAGCTATTTTATGCCTGGTTTTCTTTGTCTGGGTAGGATGATATGTAATAATAGGTAACGCCTGAAGCCCTTACCCAGTACTGTCACTGTTCTGAGTGCTTTACATATATATTTTTTGGTTTTTAATCCTCACAACAACCTAGTGAGGTATGTACTGTTTTAATCTTTATTTACAAATGAGGTAACTGAGCACAGAAAGGTTAAGTGACGTACCCAAAGCTACAGTTAGTAAATGTCAGAACAGGCAGGCAGTGTCTTAGTCAGATCAGGCTGCCATAAGAGAATACCACAGACTGGGTGGCTTAAGCTACAGACATTGGTTTTCTTAGAGTTCTGAAGCCGGAAGTCTGAGATCAGCGTGCCAGCATGGATCCTGGTGAGGGCCATCTTTCGTTTTTTGTTTTTGTTTTTGTTTTATTTCAACATGGAAAGGAGAACACATCTTTCTAGCTTGCTGACTTGCTTTCTCACTGTGTCTTGGGAGGTGGGAGAGAAAAATCTCGTTATAAGGCCACAGTCTTATCTAATTACAGCCCCACCCTTGTGAACTCATTTAAACTTAACCACGGAAGGCCAGGTGCAGTGGCTCACACCTGTAATCCCAGCACTTTGGGAGGCCGTGTGGGTGGATCACCTGAGGTCGGGAGTTTGAGACCAGCCTGACCAACATGGAGCAACCCCATCTCTTGTATTTTGTACTAAAAATACAAAATTAGCTGGGCATGGTGGCACATACCTGTAATCCCAGCTACTCAGAAGGCTGAGGCAGGAGAATGGCTTGAACCTGGGAGGCAGAGGTTGCCTTGAGCCGAGATTGCGCCATTGCACTCCAGCCTGGGCAACAAGAGTGAAACTCCATCACACACAGATACACACAAAAAACCCCAAACCTCCAAAACACCCAATCTCCAGATACAGTCACCTTGAGGGTTAAGACTTCAACATATGCTGGGCGCGGTGGCTCACGCCTGTAATCCCAGCACTTTGGGAGGCTGGGGCGGGTGGATCACAAGGTCAAGAGATCAAGACCATCCTGGCCAACATGGTGAAACCCTGTCTCTACTAAAAATACAAAAGTTAGCTGGGCGTGGTGGCGTGAGCCTGTAGTCCCAGCTACTTGGGAGGCTGAGCAGGAGAATTACTTGAACCTGGGAGGTGGAGGTTGCAGTGAGTCGAGATTGTGCCACTGCACTCCAGCCTGGTGACAGAGTGAGACTCTGTCTCAAAAAAAAAAAACCATGATTTTAGGTCAAGATAATAAATGTTACTAAAAGCAATAAAGGAGTTATCCTTAGTTTGTAGCACATATACAAGGGTGTACAGACAAGTAGGATAGAAAAAGTATTAACATTTTTATATTTGTCATCCCTTTAAAAAATATTTTATGACTATAATTAGTACAAAAATCTATAATTTTTTAAAATGCACACAAATATTGGGGAAATACCTCTTTTTTAAACTAAGGTGAAGGCATGATCACTGCAATAGAATAAAGACAGGTACCACAATATTCCTGTCATCGAAAAGTTAAAGTATACTGGGGACAGAAGATTAATCTTTTTTCCTTTTTTTCTTTTTTTTTTTTTTTTCTCAGACTCTTTCAGAGAAAGATTCTTTTTAAAATGTGATTAGCCAGGCACGGTGGCTCACGCCTGTAATCCTAGCACTTTGGGAGGCCGAGGTGGGTGGATCACCTGAGGTCAGGAGTTCAAGACCAGCCTGGCCATCATGGAGAAACCCCATCTTTTTAAAAGGAAAAAAAAGAAAGAAAAATAATAAAGTGTGATTAGGCTGGGCTCAGTGGCTCAGCCTGTAATCCCAGCACTTTGGCAGGCAGAGGCAGGCGGATCACCTGAGGTCAGGAGTTGGAGACCAGTTTGACCAACATTGTGAAACCCTGTCTCTACTAAAAATAAAAAAAATTAGCTGGGTGTGGTGGCAGGTGCCTGTAATCCCAGCTACTAGGGAGGCTGAGGCAGGAGAATTGTTTGAACCTGGGAGGAGGTTGCAGTGAGCCGAGATCTTGCCACTACACTCCAGCCTAAGCGACAGAGCAACACTCAGTCTCTAAATAGTGATTAATAGACCACAGTAGATGAATACATATCACAGATCAATTCATGATTATTTGTCCAAATAAACTGTAGAAATAGTAACTGTCATGAAAGGAGAAGCCACGTGTTCTGTTTGTCCACAGGCTGAGGACGACCTTGTTCCGGTTGACCACTGCTGGCCGGGACCTGCCGGTAGCGGAGGAGGCTGCGCCGCCTTCGGAGACCGCAAGGCGCCGGCAGAACATGGGGTGGCGGCAGCGACTCTACGTACACCAGCGCCCCCAGATGCGCCGACTGCAAGGGCAGTTCCAGCGCGTCAGCCCCGCCGCCCCTCCCCGTGCCCAGCCTCGCTTCCCCGTGGGACACAGACAGCTCCACACCTCTGGTGCATCGGTGCCGGAGAAACTGAAGAGGGGTGAGATTTAAGGCCACATGCCTGACAGGGCTAAGACACTGGGAAGGACTGATGTGCCAGCCACGTCTTCCTCACTGCCTCCTTCTGCCCATTTTGTTCTTTTGTTCTCACTCCCTCCTTTCTGCCTCCCTAAGATCTTTTCTCCTGAGTGGGATAATCAGGTTTAAAATTCTCAATTCACCATGGAGTACCGCTGAGGGCAGAATCGGACAAAAGAAAATGGGAACGTTGCTGGTCGGTTCCAGAGCAGGTCTAGAAAACAAGCCTAGATAATATTGCAAATCTCCAACATAAGTTGTCTTACCAGGGTTCCCTCCACTGCACTACTGGGCTATTTGGTTGGAAAGACTGGATTTCCAGAAGACCTGTGCTTCTAAAGCTGGGGTTCTTAGTCTGTTGGGAAAGTGGACTCCTTTGAAACCACGATCAAAGCTAAGACCCTTCTTCCAACAAAAATAAAGGCACACATAGACAAACTTTGCATTCAATTTCCTTAGGGTCCATATTTTCTGAAAGCCCATTCCTGAAATACAGGTCTAGAAGTAAGTTGTAAGTGACCCGGATCAGTTGCAATTTCTTCTCTTCCTGTATTACAAATGGAATAGTCTGAGTTCTGACTTTATCTGGCTGCTGTGAAACCCAACGTTGATGACTGGGTGCTGCGGCTCATGTCTGTAATCCCAGCCCTTTGGAAGGCCGAGGTAGGTAGATCACTTAAGCCTAGGAGTTGGAGACCAGCCTGGGTAACACAAATGCTGTCTCTACCAAAAAATATGAAAATCGGCTAAGCCTTGTGGCACATACCTGCAGTCCCACCTACCTGGGATACTGACACGGGAGGACTGCTTGAGCCCAGGAGGTGGAGCCTGCAGTGAGCCCACATGGTACCACTGCACTACAACTTGGGCAACAGTAAGACACTGCCTCAAAAAAGCAAAACAAAAACCTCAAAAACCAAACCCGACATTGAATCTCTAGAGTAGACACACATTCCCATGGATCTAAATCGGGGATGAGTATCCTAAGTTTAAATAAATAAATAAATGCTGTGTGTAGATTTATTTATTTCATTTTTTGAGACACAGTCCTGCTCCGGCAGGCTGGAGTACAGTGGCGCAATCTCTGCTCACTGCAACTTGTGCCTCCCCAGATACAAGTGATTCTCCTGCCTCAGCCTGCCGAGTAGCTGGGACTGCAGGTGCACACCACCACACCCAATTTATTTTTGTATCTTTAGTAGAGACAGGGTTTCACCATGTTGGCCAGGATGGTCTCAATCTCTTTACCTCGTGATCCGCACATTTTGGCCTCCCAAAGTGCTGGGATTATAGGCTTGAGCCACTGTGCCAGGCTAATTAAGTACTCTTATTAATACTGACTTATTTTGCTTAGAATGGTCCTATGATTTCAAGTTTTGTACTCCAGACAACCAAACATTTGCAAAAAAAACAACAAAGGCTGGGCGTGGTGGCTTATGCCTGTAATCCAAGCACTTGGGAGGCCAAGGCGGGCGGATCACCTGAGGTAGGGAGTTCAAGACCAGCCTGACCAACATGGTGAAACCCTGTCTT